TGATTCTCCCCCATCCCTCCCAATTAAATTCCTCCCCTCAACTTTCTTAATTTTGTAGGCTGTACATGGAATATATATATCTATAAATATATATTTATTTATATATGTACCCTTCTTCATCTATTCCCTCCACTTGACTCTCCTACTTTTTTTTTTTCTTTTCTGTCATGGGGCTTGAACTCTGGGCCTGAACACTTCTCAGTTCTTCAGCTCAAGGCTAGTGCTCTACCATTTGAGCCACAGCACCACTTCCTGTTTTCTGAGTGGTTTATTGGAGATAAGAGTCTCATGGAGGGGGCTGGGAAGGTGGCTCAGTGGTAGGGTGCTTGCCTTGCATGCATGAGGCCCTGGGTTCAATTCCTCAGCACCATATAAGCAAAAAGAAAAAGCCAGAAGTGGTACTGTGGCTCAAGTGGTAGAGTGCTAGCCTTGAGCTGAAGAGCTGAGGGACAGCGCCCAGGCCCAGAGTTCAGGCCCCACGACTGGACCTAAAAAGAAAAAGAAGAAAGAGTCTCATGGAGGGCTGAGAAGGTGTCTCAGTGGTAGAGTGCTTGTCTCTCATGCATGAAGCCCTGGGTTCGATTCCTCAGAACCACATAAACATAAAAGGCCCCATGACCTGACCAAAAAAAAAAAAAAAGTCTCATGGAATTTCCTGCCCGGGTTGACTTTGAACTGCAATCCTCAGATTTCAGCTTTCTGAGTAGCTAGGATTACAGGTGTGAGCTACTGGTGCCCGGCAACTCCTACTTTTTAAGAAAATATTTGTATAAGTTTTTATTTTAAGAGGTTATAAAATACATACATATTCCAAGCAGCTACATTGTTATTCAGTGAAAGATTGCAACTAGATTATTCTCACATCCTACAAATTTTACACTGACATGTGATTTCAAGAAGTTTTTATTCAAGCACAACAATGTCAGCATCTCTAGAAAAGTTTTAAGGGTCATTTATATTTATAGCTTTTCAAAAATGAGAGATTGGTTTTTAGTGGAGATTATTTCTTCTGACACATTTCACCTGTAAAGTTTACCCTCTGTGATGTCATAGTTTTACTGAAACATCATTCCACAAAAGGAATAATTTGAACTTTAGGATTTGGTGATTGGAACTTCTTTATTTCTATGATGCATAGTGCTTTTTTTGTTTAATGTTTTTTATTGTATGTTAATCTCCCTTCTCTTATTTCAATAGTCAAGTAGCATTTGTAGCATTTGTAAATTCAGTAATTGCTTAAAAATCTTTTTTCCTCCTGGGTTTCTTTTTAGGGACTACTGACAATCAAAAACCTATAGCCAACTTTGGGATCTGGCTTAATTATTCAGCAACTAAAAGATGAGTTCTAGTTGGCAGACTCTTGCACTGGCACTTGTCCTCCTGTTTCTATAGAAACTGGGTTGAAGTCAGAGCTGTACAGAGGGAAAGGGTAAGTTTCTTTTAATTCCATATTTATAAACCCATATCTTATTAACTGTGGCATGGTGTCAGTTTCCACAAAATATACATTGGTGCTAGATCAAATATGAACTATAATTTTCACAAGTGAAAACTGACATCAAGTCATTAAATATAATAGGAGGGTTTAAATATGGATTTTTCTTGTGACTCTGACTTCACATTTCTTAAAAGAACAAACTCAATATAATTCTCAGTTATTTTTAATTTAGGGGGTTATAATACTAATTTTTATCCTCTTTAATCTTAATTTTCTTGTACTTTTCTGGTAAGTGAAAACTGGAACATAAAATATGTACCAGAGGACATTTTAAAAGTCTGCATGAATTATAAGCCTCTTTGTGGCAGTCTGACTCTTCTTTCCGTTATAATGCAAGAACTGTACTACTGACCAGCTATTTTTTAGCCTCTTTTCTCTTCTTCTCTTAGCTAAGCAGGATGAGTTTGTCTGTTGGGGCACATGCATTTGTTCTTACTTAAGCAGACACTCATTATTAGTAGAACCTAACACCTGCCAGTTGGTGAGTCATCCTATTGCTATGGCTTCAGAGGGTGTGCTGCATGCACAGCTGCAGCTTTCACACTTGAAGTGGTGTAAGTGTTATACACAAAGTCCTCTGATTTACAGGTTGGTATATGTAAATAATTTTTATTAACTCTGACTAGCCTTGAGATACTGGAAAAAAGACACTCTTAGCTCTTGCTCTATATACTTACTTTTATAGTCCTGAGGATTGAAATCATAGGTTCATGCTTGTGAGAAAAGTTTGTTTTTTGTTTTTTGTTTTTTTTTTAACACTTAAGCCATACCTCTAGCTCTAGATTTGTAAATGTTACCTATTGTATTTCCTTGGTCCTGATATTCTACTCTTTATTTTTTGTTGGTTTGGGGGGGCTTGAACTCAGGGTCTGGACACTATCTGTTAGCTTTTTTGCTCAAAGCTGGCGCTCTACCACTTACGGTTTTTTGTGGTCAATCAAAGGTAAGACTCTCATAGATTTTCCTGCTCAGGCTAGCTTTGAATTGAAATCCTCAGATCTCAGCTTCCTGAGTAGTTAGGATTACAGGTGTGAGCCACTAGCGCTCCTGATATGCTACTCTTAAAGGAATAGAATTCTCTTTTCCCTCCTACACAAACATTGGTTGACACAAAGAACAGGACACCTTGGCTTTATTCTCCTTGGGAAAATAGTAAAAGAAGTAAAACAAGTTTGTTAGTGAGAAAAATAAACTTATTTTTAAAGATTCAAAAGTCCTTGGCTAGTTCATGCCTGAAAGTGGGTTCCCATTAAAAATTTTGTGAGCTTCCCTTGTTAGGTTTTGTTATACTAGCTGAGCCTTGAATGAGGTAGAAACAAATGAATTTGTGGTTTATTTTGTTTTGTTTATTTAGAAGGTGGATAGGAAAAAAAACTAGTGTTCTGCCTGGCTCTGAAGAACTCCTTTATTTCTAGCCAAACCCAGACATCATCCTAATCATCTTCATCCCTAAAAGTCCATATGAAGTTGATATTTATAATTTTGGATTGAAGATGTCACAGTAATTATATTATGAATTATGAAGCTTATATTGGAATGTACCAGGGAATAGATTATTTTGTTTTTGAGCTGGTGTCTCATATAGTCCATGCTAGCATAGAACCCTTGACATTCCTTCTTTCCACCAGAATAGGGATTACGGGTGTGCATCAACTCACCTGGCATAGATTCATTTAACAAATAACATGTCTTTTCCTCTTGAACATAGGCAGTGCCATTATATCTCACAAATAAAATTTAAAAATTGTAAACTGATTTTAAAAGCTGATGCTAAGTAGTTATTTTTTCATTTATATATAATGCTAGATCATGGTGTCATCAAATGTGAGATATCAGGTAGATATTTGTGCAAATGAAAATTAATAGCCACATGAGACAGACATATAGACATGAAGCCTCATCTCTGATGATTGTAGCTTAAGAGAAACTCAAAACTTTTTTTTTTTTGCTAGTGCTAAGGCTTGAACTCAGGGCGTGGGCATTGTCCCTGAGCTTCTTTTGCTCAAGACTAGCATGCTACCACCTGAGCCGCAGCACCCCTTCCAGCTTTTTCTGTTTATGAGGTACTGAGGAATTGAACCCAGGGCTTCATGCATGTTAGGCAAGCATTCTACCACTAAGCCACATCCCCAGCCCAAAACTAATGTTTTTTATGTTGAGATCAAAACATTCCTTAAGTTTAATGTTGTGTCTCTTGAAAACAAATATTAATATTTGGGGTGTCGGTGGCTCACGCCTGTAATCCTAACCACTGAGGAGGCTGAGATCTGAGGATCACGGTTCAAAGCCAGCCCAGGCATAAAAGTCCCGTGAGACTCTTATCTCTAATAAACTGCTAGAAACTGGAAATGGTGTTGTGGCTCAAACGGTAGAGCGCTCGCCTTGAGCTGAAGAGTGCAGGGACAGCGCCCAAGCCCAGAGTTCAAGCCCCACGACCAACAAAAAATAAATAAAAAAAGATCACCCAAGCAAGGAACTGGTGGCTCACGCCTGTAATCCTAGCTACTCAGAAGGCTGAGATCCGAGGATCACAGTTTAAAGCCAGCCTGGCAGGAAAGTCTGTGAAATTCTTATCTCCAATAAACCACCAGAAAACCGGAAGTGGTGCTGTGGCTCAAGTGATAGAGTGCTAGCCTTGAGCTAAAGAGCTGAGGAATGGCACTCAGGCCCAGAGTTCTGGCCCAGAGACTGGCCAAAAAAAAAAAAAGAATTACCCAAATATTGAAGAGCTCTGTGCATATCTAAGTACTTATAAAAATATTAATTTTTTCATTAAAGCCATCAATCAACTTTCATATGAAATTTATAGTTCTGAAGAGACATCTGAAGAGCTCAAGTGGTAGAACAGCACCTGCATAGGAAGTGTAAGGCCAGAACTTCAAACCTCTCCTAACCAGAAAAAAAGTTATTTAGGTATATGGGCTGAATATTTTAGATACTATTAGATGCACTGTAGTAAGAAAAGCAACAATGTTTACTTGGCTGGGGGTACCATTCAAATGATCTTAAAGATTTGACTTTTTGGAGTTTTAAAATATTTAAAATATTTATATATATTTATATTTTAAATATTTTAAATATTTATATATATTTATTTTAAAATATTTATATATTATATATATTATATATTTCAGTTTTAAAATATTTATAAAATATTTATGTAAGTTTATCATAGAAATTTAAAAAACAAGGGTATCTTCTGGTAAATAAAGAAAACTTTTTGGAACAGAATATACTTATAGTCACTAAGTAAGATTTTAATATTCTGATTCCAGAGTTCCAGTTAGCTAATATTTATATTTTTTTAAAGAAAAAAAATAGCTTTCCACGTTTATATGTTTTAGTGACTAAGTTACCATGGCACAATTGATAATTTGGATTGATTTATTATTATGTGCCCCGATTTTCATTTAAGTAGTTGCTTCAGCTAATAAAAATTTTAACTTATAATTAAATACAAGCAGCTTAATTTAAATTGCTATTAATCTGTTTTTTTATTACCATATAGATATTTCTCACAATGCTAAGGGCATTGAAAGCTGACTGGTTTACATTCTTACTTTACAAAGAAACTCTTCTTCCAAGCTTTTGTTCCCAATGACTCGTTAAGTTCAGATTTTCTCCTGTTAAACTTTGACTTGATTGTAGTCCTCTTTATGGTCAGACTGTTTGCTTTTCCATCTCTCAGCCAATGGTATGAAGAAAAAGGAAACAGAAGAGAGGAGGTAGCATGTGCCAGAGAAGTAGAAAGAGCCGGTATATGTCTGTGTATGATCATGTAACCATCCTGGAAGGTAGGAAGGATTTCTATTAGTAAAGCACATCTTTTCATTCTCAAGCAGAAACTGCACCTGAAAGGAGGTGCTCATCTATAGTTATCAGTCTATATTGTGACCCATTAGAAAGTTAGTCAAGCTTCTTAGCTAAGGTATTTATTTATTTATTTATTTATTTATTTATTTATTTATTGATTGATTGATTGATTGATTGCTGGTCCTGGGGCTCGAACCCTACCTAATTTTATGATGAATCTTACTAAAACACTATTATAAAGAAAATCTGAAGTACTGTTTTCAAAATAAAGAAAACAATTGCATTTTTCTTTACTGTATAAATGTTTGAGTGCTTACTATGTTTCTGTCAATAACTATGTGCTAAACTCAATCTCTTAAGCCATATTCTCAGCCCTTTTATGCGTTTAGTTATTTGTTAAATAGGATCCTGTATTTTTTGCCCAGGACTGGCCTTGGCCCTTCTTCCTGCTTGAAGGCTCCCAAGTAGCTCAGATGATAACTGTGTACCACTCTGTTTGGCTTATTTGTTGAGATCTTGTTTGGGATCTGCTAACTTTTTTCCTGGGCTAGTTTTGAATTATTATATTCCCAAACTCTGCTACTCAAGTAGCTGGCATTTTGGGACCTAATTTGCTTTTTTGTTTATTGATTCCTTGTTTAATCAGTAATAATATCGCATGTTTCTTAGAAAGGAGTGAAACCAGCTAAGATTTAAATCCTTGTATTATATTGCAACTTCTGAGAAATATATGAGTTATCTGAACTGTCCTAGAAATTGCTTGAAAAGAAGTATAGAAGGCAACAGCACCCTCAAATCATTTGTTATTCTTGCTTTAGTTTACCAGCACAGTGTATGTACACACACAAAATACATAAATATACATATGTTCATCTATGAATTTTAAGACAGGAGTATCAAAAGTAGCGCTTAGGAAAAGACTAAGCGTTCTTGAATAATAAGGTGGATATTAGTACTGAAATGTTAGTAAGGTACAACTGAAAAATGTAAAAATGTAGCCAGGTGCTGGAGGGATAACATCTGTAATCCTAGCTACTCAGGAGGCTAAGATTTGAGGATGGGGGTTCAAAGCCAGCTGGGGCGGAAAAGTCTATGAGACTCTTATCTCCAAAAATTAACCACCAGAAAACCAGAAGTGGAGCTGTGACTCAAAATGGCAGAGCACTAGCCTTGAGCAAAAAAGCTCAAGGACAATGCCCAGGCCCTGAGTTTAAGCCCTCACAACTGACAAAAAAAAAAAAAAAAAAATCATTGGAAGCTATAAACCTTTGATTTTTATACACACACACACACACACACACACACACACAAATACAACACATTGAGGGTTAAAATATATTTAATATATTTTCTTAGGATAAGGAATCATTTAGCATATTTAAGAGCTATTTGTATGTGAAATTAGATTAAGTAATTTCTTAAATTTGTTATTTCCATTCATTCTTGATAATGAGGTATTAGTGTTTTTAAAATTCTAATTAAGAGGAGTCCTTAACTCCTGTTTCCTGCTTGGGCAGCAGGAAATGTCTCTGTCTATTTCTCCCTACTTCAGCCCTGTTTTCCTAACATAAATCTTTGCAAAACTTCAAAAGAAAAACAAAATTCTGGGGCTGGGGATGTGACTTAGTGGTAGAGTGCTTGCCTAGCATGCATGAAACCCTGGATTCTATTCCTCAGTACAGAAAAAGCTGGAAGTGGCACTGTGTCTCAAGTGGTAGAGTGCTAGCCTTGAGCAAAAGAAGCTCAGGGACAGTGCCCATGCCCTGAGTTCAAGCCTCAGGACTGGCAAAAAAAGAAAAGAAAAAAAATTCTAATTAAGACCCAGTTGTCACTCAGTAGGATAGTAGTATACATTTGAATAGTTTTAGGATGGTGCTTATAATAGCAAATATAAGGTGAGATGTAGGATATAGCTGATTTCATGTTTTGGATCATGTGATGGAAAGGTAGGTCAGACATATTTATTCCAGAATCTGAACTTCTCCCAAATTCTGAAGTTTTTTTTGTATTGACATGATGCTACCAATGAAAAATTCCATACTATGACATTTTATTTCTTGTATAAATTATTTAAAATATTGCTTATAATTAACTACTACATACATGAAATACACATGAAACAAATGAATTTTTCATTTAGGCTTGGGTCCCATCAAAATATTTTATTATATGTACGTAAATATTCCTAAGTCCAAAATAAGTCAAAACCCAGAACACTTCTGGTCTCAAGCATTTTGGATAAGAGATAAACAGCCTTGTCTGTACTGGTGGCTAACACCTGACACCCACAGACTCAGGAGATTGAGATTTGAGAAGTAAGGTTTGAAGCCAGCCCAAGCAAAAAAGTCTGTGAGACTCTTATCTTCATCTAACCAGGAAAAAGCTAGAAGTGGAGGTGTGTCTCTAATAGTAGAGCTCCATTCTTGCACAAAAAAGTCAAGCAAGAGTACAGTACCCTTGAGTTCAAGCCCCAGTACCACCACCACAACAAAAAGAAACAGGCTTATGGCTGTCATAATAAATTTACATGGCTCCTAGTTAAAATGTGAACTTGATAGGTATTAAAACATCTAGTTTATTGAATTGGAATTACAGTTTTGTCTAATATTGAAAGTGAAAGATTTGTGAATTTGAGTTGATTTTATTAGTGTTCTTTGTTTTTGGTACTGAGCCCAAGTTAAATATCTATCACTGAGTCACACTACGCTGAGCCACAGCTCTGCTTCTGACTTTGGTAGTTTATTGAAATGAATCTCATCTACTTTTCCTGCCTTTTCCTTCTAATCCTGATCCTCAGATCTCAGCTTTCTGAGTAGCTAGGATTACAGACATTAGTTGCTGGCGCCTGGATGTTGTGCTCTTTTTTTATTTTTGGTGGTGGTGTGGGGAGTTAACAGTCTGAAAAGGCAATATACAGAGGCACTTCTAACTTTGAACAGTCAAATGTTTCTAAGTAAATGTTTTTGGAAGAAATCAGTAGTAGTAGATGCCATTGCATTCTACGTATTTGAAATCAAAGCAATACACTGGATACCTTTATGTCATAGCAAAGCATTATAGAAGTCTGAAAATGATGAGAGGTATGAGCTGTAATCGAAAATGGCTTGCATTCATGTGAATGTTCACTCTATACTGATTGTTAGCTGTGGAGTTAGCATTCTCAAGATAAACTGGCAGCTACTGAAAATTTAGTAGTTCCAAGTCCTTTATATTTCCTACAATATTCATCAGATTCACCTGAGATGCATGTTAATGATGCAGACTCTGGCTTCTGTTAAGCCTACTTCAGCCTGGATATAATCAGTAGATCCCTTTGTGTTATGAAACTGTTATTTATTATTTAATAACTATTTCACTTGGAATTATTTCCTCATATGTATGACTTATTTGAATGGGAATATCTAATGATGTTTGTTGTAATAATTTAAAATATTTAAGAAAATTAGACTGAGCATCATTAAACAGTATAACAAAACAGTTTTCTTATGGCAAAGTTATAAGGATAAACTTTCAAGTTTGACATTTTATATGATTCTAAATTTTGCCTGGGGCCAATCACACCTGCAATCCTAGCTAATCAGGAGGCTGAGATCTGGTTTGAAGCCTGCAGGAAAGTCTGTGAGACATTCATCTTGAATTTGCCACACACACACAAAATAGTCAGAAGTAGAGTTATGGCTCAAGCAGTAGAGTGCTAAATGTGAAGCTCATGGACAACACCCAGTCCTTGAGTTCAAGCCCCAGAACCGATTTATCCCCTGTCCCCTAATGATTCTGAATTCTTTTTTTTCCTTTTATGATATAGTACTGAGGTTTGAACTTAGGACCTCTGCCACTTGATCCATACCCCACCCCAGTCCTTTCCTTAGCATATTTTTTTAGGTGTTAGGCATTTGTCCAGGCTAGCCTCCAGGTGCAGTCCTCTTTTGCCTCTGGGGTAGCTGGGATTATAGGCATGAACCACCATATCTGACTTGTTTTTTTGAAACAGGGTCTTGCTAAGTTTTTTGCCTCAAACTGTAATCCTCTTATGTTATCTGCCTTCAGATATGGCCACCAAATCTAGCTGTCCAAATTCATTTTTTTAAGTAACTATTTTTTAACCATTTTACATCATTTATGAATTAAGCCATACATGTATAAAGGTATTTTTAATAGCCTAAGAATTATCATAACATTAGACAACTAGATTGTTAATCTGAATTGTGAATTCTTTTTTTTAGGGTTATTATCTAAATCTACTATTGATCATCTTGTTAAAACTTGAAATAGGCCAGGTATGGTGGCTCACACCTGTAATCCTAGCTACTGAGGAGACTGAGATCTGTGGATCATGGTTCAAAAGCCAGCCTGGGTAGGAAAGTCCATGAGACTCTTTACCTCCAATTAACTACCAGAAAACCAGAAGTGGCGCTGTGGCTCAAATGGTAGAGTGCTAGCCTTGAGCTGAAGGGACAGTGCCCAGGCCCAGAATTCAAGCCCCATGACAGACAATAAAATAAAAAACAAGAAACAAAACCAAAAAAATCTTGAAATATACCCAAAAGGTCTTAATCCTAAAGTTTCTTGATGCTAGTTCTAATAACTGGTTGAGATTTCTGTAACTGTCCAATTTAAAACAGAACTTCAGCTGTTGACTTCGACTGTAGTATAGAGTTCTACTTCCAAAGGTTTTGGCAGCCTTGTCCTTTTGCTTTGGGTGGGTTGTACAGTTTTTTTTCTGAATGTACTGTGATATGCTTGGAAACATAGCTTAACAAATTTAAGCTTCAGGGCCTTTTAAGAGTGGAATTCAATAATGGCTCACGATAAAAATTTGTAGTAAGATTTACTGGGAGTGCTTTCAGCATTGACTGTGTTATAAATTTTATTAAGTGGATTGTGGTCTCTATTAGCATTTGGAAACTCAATTCCTAGGCCTTGTAAAAGTATGTTGTGATTCCAAGGGAAGGAATACTATTCTCCTTCACCTTT